CCCCAAAACCCCAAAACCCCAGTTATTTAAATTTTGATTGAAATTAAGTTATTAGAACTATTAATTTAATTTGATGTAAGAAGCAGGAGTAGAAAAACTCAACTAAAATGAATTTAAAGTATACGACCGCTAACTAAGGGTATGGGGAGTTGAGGCCCAGAAAAAGATGAAGGAATCTCTTGTCCTTGCTATCAATATGACGACAGTGGTAACTGAACTTTCAAGACATCTAGCGCTAAGCGGGATTAACCTTCATCTAGTAGATATTGAAAATGTGATGATTGATAGCTCACATTCTGAAAGTGACTTTTTATTTGCACCAAATGATATAGGTAAACTAAGAGTTCAGGTAGTTGCTGAGAAGCTAAGAGAAATGAATCCCTATGTAAAAATCACTCATGAAACAGAAAGGACTCTCAAAGACTTACTAGAGATCAGAGACTTATAGAGTCTCTTCAATGGTTAGAAGTATTCCGCTATTGTATCAGGCTTTACAAGATTTAGTGACAGTAAAGTCTTGAACTCAATGGCTAGAGATGTCTAAACTCCCTTCTACAGTCTGAATTCTTGCGGCTTAAATGGCTTTTTCTTTGCTGATATTTGCCATGAATTCACTTATACTACTAAGAATAAACAGACTAATGAGGACGAAATCCACACAATTACTAAGTCAGTGAGTTTAGATAAATTCATTGCTAATTTTTCTGCTTAAGATAGAAAGCTCTCTAATGTACCAATAAGGAAAACATCTGCCTAAGCTGCCTTTCTCTTCTACACTATTATGTCTTTAGCGCTTTAGGAGCAAACTCAATCTCCACAGCCAGTAGCAAGTGATGACTAAATGATGATAGATTAAAATCCAGAGAATGTAAGTGAGGGATAGAGGAAAGATAGTGAGTTTGATAAAGTTTGCTAAATTCTCATAGAAAAGGGTGTGGGCAGTAAGATTATCAAGAGTTAGGAATTCAGAGAGACATATGATAGAGTATAAAAATGCTTTAATGTTGAGTTCAGCCCATCTTGCAGTCTAATTGGAGCTATAGTGTCTCAAGAGATAGTAAAAGTAATCACTCAGAGAGATCATCCTGGCTATGGAATGTATGTTTACGATTCAGTCACTTAATAATGTACTCAGTAATTAGTTGAATGAAATGATTAATATCTTTAAGCAAAGTTAAATATTCTGAAATATATTATTTTAATTTCATTAATTAGTCTAAATTATAGTAATTCGGGGTTTTGGGGTTTTGGGG